AAGCACATCATAGTTGTAGAAGTCCCTTCTCTGCCATAAGAGTCCCTAAAGGCACACCATGGCTGTAGAAAGTGAGCAGGGTTTGGAGAGCAGTTCCGTTTTCTGTCCTCACGTGCAGGACCTGAGGCTCAAAGGGCAGAGGGCTGCCTGGGTCACAGCCAAGATGAGGGCCACACCTGGGTTCTTTCTTCTTCAGTACTCTATTCCCACTGTGTGGTTACCTACCCCCTCCTCCAAGCCCCCTCTGAGTTTCCTCATCTCCTCAGCCCTCTCCTCTTTTGATACTGGGTCTGTTTGCAGTCAGCTGAACTGTGGTCCCCACAGGGATGTGCCCAAGTCCTGAGCCCGGGCCTTTATGGATGTGATGTTGTTTAGGAACAGGGTCTTTGGAGATGTCATGAAGTTAAGAATCTCGGGATGAGATTGCCCTGGACTTAGGGTGGGCCCTCAGTCCAACTACTGGGTCCCTGGGAGAGGACAGCCTCGCAGAGGGAGAACACCACGGGAAGTGTGGCTGGGCTGTCAGGAGCTGGGAGGGGTGGGAAGGACCTTCCCCTGAGCACGCCCTGGACAGAGGGCGCCCCTGCTGACACCGTGGATTTGGACTTGTGGCCTCCAGAACTGTGAGGTTTAACTTCTGTTAAGTCACCCAGCTTATGGTAATTTTTGACAGCAGCCACAGGGACCTAACATCGGCCAGCCTCCTGACCTCAGCTCGGTAACATCCTCATCGGGATATCAGACACGATGCATCCCTGCTGCCATTAAAGAGCCCTAGGGAGGGGGGTTACTCCACGCCCCGCCCCCCAAGTCCAGGGCACCAGGACTGGGCCACGGGCAGCCCACCGTGGACACAGTTAACATCACTGTGTTGTACATGCAAACACGTGTTCCCAAGGGAGGGCTCGAAGCAGCTGTTCAAAGCATAACCCTGCAAATGGACTGACTATCACCAAATCATGGGCTTAAAAGCGGTTAAAATGGTAAATTCTGTGCGGGGGTAGGGGGTGAGGAAAATGACTCATTTTCTGTTATTGTGATCACCCCTCCCCAAATTAACAGTGATGTCACTGGTTCAACATCCACTTTACTTTAAGCAACAGAAAACTAGATCAGGGCCACCGGGAAGGGGACATGCAGAGAGCATTTGGGGTCACAGAAGTAGGCCAGGGGCTGGGGGGGACCCAGCATGGGTCTGGCTGAGGTCCTGGAATTCAGAACGCAGGGAAGGCAGTGGGAACTCGGTGGTGGACTCAGAACTCCAGGAATGGTTGAGTCTCCAGATGAACCGGCACCAGCAGACTGGAGTGTGGGGGCCTGGCTCTAGCCCTCAAGGATGTTTCTCTGGCTTTACTGGTCTGGGGTGGGGGTCAGATCCTTGCAGGAGGAGAGGGGGCGGATGTCTGCCCACCTCAGCCCTGAGTCAGTGGGACTTGAGCCTGGGGCTCTGGAAGGCCGACAGGGCGATGAGCATCTGGGCGAGATAGTAGGTGGTCATGACCAGCAGGTGGCCGTGGGGCAGCTGGTGAAAGGTGTTACAGGCCAGCATGGTGTCTGACAGCAGGAACAGCAGGGCACCCCAGCGGGCACTCCCACCCCGGGCCAGGGCCCGCCACAGCATGGAGAACAGGACCGTGGAGTAAGCTAGCACAGGCCAAACCAGGCGGGGCGGAAAGTGAGGAAGCAGGAACCCGAAGTAGAGGGCGCAGACCAGGAGGATGGGCAGCAGGAGGTCGGGCCTCAGGGGCGTGAGGCCGAAGGCCCAGAGGTAGAGCAGTTGGGCCAGGCCGAAGGCAGCCATGCCTGCAGGAGACATGCGGGCGGGGGGCAGGGTGGTGGTGGTGGCAGGGCGCCTGGTAAAGCCTGCTGCTCCCCGGCTTCACCCTGCAGCCCTCGGCCCGAGGAGGAGGGCGGACCCCGGGGCCAGCTCCCACCCTGGCCATACCGCCCCGTCTCCAGGGCGGCTTCCTCGGTCGTCCCTTCTGGCCGTTAGCCCCCAAACCACCTCAGGCGTGCACCGCGTTCCATGCGGTTCTGCTCTTAACCGCCCGCGGACGAACACCCCCGCTTGCAGGGGCCCCGGCGACTGCACACACCCCGCCTCCTGCACCTGCCAGCCCTCTGCCTGTAGGGGCACCTGGCTGCTACCTGCATCCCCTTTCAGGCGTTACCTTCCCGGTGAGGCTGGCCTCTGCCAGCGTACTCGAGACCGCGAGCCTTGCGCGCTCACGCGGCCTCGGGTAACGCCGCCCGCGCCCAAGTGGGAGGCGCTCAGCAGGGGCCGGGGTCTGGGTGAGTCTCCTCATGGCCTTGGGCTCCCCAGGGCGTTCTGTTGGGGACTCACCCCACCTCCCCCGGCATCCCACCCTCTACCCGCTGGGGCGCGGGGCGCGGGGCAGGGGGCGTCCAAACAGGACAAGGCAACATATCCCATCACCCGCTCTCACCGTGGAGAAAGGCCTCAGGCCAGACGAGGCAGGCGTCCCCTACGGCCGAGCATAGCAGGGCCCCCTGCAGGAGTGAGCGGTAGCCCCCGCCAGGGTGCGCAGTCCCCAGGAACCCCGCCAGGTAGAGGACGGGCAGGCTCTTGAGCAGGGCGCTGACCCTGGACGGCTGGTCCAAGGAGCTCTGGACGAGGAGGTAGACGGCACAGGCGAGGAAGAACGGGAGCAGCCCCAGGCCCATGCGCGGCTGTGGGTGCTTCGGGTGTAAGGGGGCCTCTGAGCGGCTGCAATGCAACCCAGCCCCCAGTCCCCGGGACCAGCCCCCCTCTAGAGCCCTCCCGGCCCCCTGGGAGCCAGGCCCACCCCGGCCCAGGGACCCTAGCCTTTTTGCCCAGGGCCTGGGGCAGCCGCACAGGCACCAGGACGTCCAGGCTCACAGAACCTTCCTCCACACCCGCCCCCCGCCCCCGCCCCCGATTCTTCAAGGTCGCTTAGGTTCCCAGGAGCCCAGGCCTGGTCCCCCACTCGGCGGCGCTCACTTGAGCTAAGAAGCGAGGTCTCCAGGGCAGCCCCTCCTTCCGGGCGTCCAGGTCGGACCTGCAGCCCCCCACAGTGGCCTGCATGAGGGCACCGCTGGCTTTGAGGGGTGATGGGGATGGCGTGTGGTTACACGTTAACTCGGGAGTGTCCTGTGGACTCTGGGACTGATAAGAGGTTCAGGGAGATGCTGCCCCGCCCTGGGACAGTCCTGCCTGGCACAGCTGATACCGCGCCATCGGGACCCAGGGTCTCTCACCCTCAACGGCCCCTGCCCTCCGGCTTCCTCCTTGCCTAGGGAGCCTGGTCGCCACGCCCCTCCCACCAGGCTGCACCAGCCGGCTCAGAGGGAAGTGGGCGCTGAACTCCCAGGGCGCTCGCAGAGCGAGGTGGGAAGGTCGGGGGATGCCAGGGCCCAGGGTCTCTCACCCTCAACGGCCCCTGCCCTCCTGCCCCACCCTACCCTGTCGCCCCGCCCCACCCTGCCGCCCGCTCTGGGAAGGCCGGCCCAGCGGACAGCGGCACTGGACAGTGTGCTAGCCTACAGGCGGCTCCAGGGACAGCTCCCCACGTCCAGCCAGCCACAGCGTACAGCACAGCCGGTCTCCGCCAAAAGCCACGGACCCCGGGCGCCTCCTCTGGCTTGGTTGGCTGCCCCCAATCCCCCAAGCCCCACTGCTTCACCAAGGGGAAAGGGCTCTGGGCATGCGGGTGACAGGGCTGAGAATGGGCCGGCAGGAAGTCCACCACCACGACCCCCAACCCCCGGAGCCTGTGTGTGTGTACAGGGGGGCGGGACCAAGGAGTGCTCAGGGCCTCCTCCAGGAAACCCTTCCTAGCTGAGAAGTTCCCCCCACCGGCGGAGCAAGGAGACCAAGGACCCTAATTCCACGCTCTGAGGGTCCCACCCAGGAGGCCCCGGTGTGGGACCAGCTCAGGCTCCCCGACCCCATGTCCCCGAACTCGAGGTCTGAGCAGCACGAGTCTTAAACTGTCCTCCTTTATTTGTTTACATTTGCAATATGAAACAGAAGCTCCGCACGAACACACGCGCACACTCACGCCCGCCTGGGGAGAGGGGCTGGGACAAGGGCACTTGGCAGCTGGGCTGCACCCAGACCCTCGGGAGGAGGAGTGGGACCCCAGCCAGATCCCCACCCGGGGTCGGTGGGAGATGGAGGTCTCAGTGAGTGCAGCAGGGTCCTGGGGCGATGTCACCAGGGACAGCCCCTGGGACCAGGAACCCAGCTCCCTCCCACAGAGCTGGCTGGGCCAGGTGGAGCTCCCAGCCTGGGTCAAAGTGCAGGGTCTGGGGCAAGGGGGCTGGGCAAAGGCACGGCCCCCCACTCGGGCCCTCCCCCAAGGTGGACCTGAGCTGAAAGGCCGAGTGTGGGTGTGGGCATCTGCACCGCAGGATGGGGGCACGGCTGGACGGGAGAGTGGTGGTCACCTTGGCACCTCCCACGGCAGCCCCAGTGGGCCCGGGTGAAGGCCTCGTGGCTGCCGCCCAGCCCTGGATTCTTCCTGGCTCCCCGTGTGCCCACTCTGCTCCCTCCAGATACACACACACACACACACACATATATATATATATATAATATATAATATAGGTCTCTCTCGCGCGCGCTCTCTCCTCTCTCTAGCCCACTCTATCTTTACTCTAGGAGACGAAACTCCATAATCTCTTTCCTCAGTGCAATGGGGGGTGGGGGCTGTCTCCCGGGCGCCGGCCTCCTGGACTCCAGCGGGGACATGTGTAGGGCGGGGTGGGTAATGGGCGACAGGGCCTCTGCGGCACCTGCCCGGCCCTCACCCGGACAGGGTCCACGCGGAGCACGGAGCGTGTGGCCGCCACCACCGGACCAGGCAGTCACCTGGGAAGTGAGAGGGAGAAGGTGTAAGGCGCCGAAACCAGTGCCAGTGCCGGCCCCGCCCCGGCCCCGCCCACCTCCAGCCAGCGCCCGCCTTTGTCCCCACCCACCTCTGTCCAGCGCCCACCTCCGACCCCAGCGCCCACACTCACTGGGAGCCCGGGGCCGCCGGGCCTCCTGGGGCAGAGCCGTTGGGCATCGGGAGCGGCTGGAGGACCAGGGCACTGTGGAGAGAGGATGAGCGCGCAGTCAGCGCCCCCATGAAACACCGGCTGCCCCTGCCGCCGCACCGTGCTTACCTCTGGCTTTGAGGAAACCCCGAGAACTCTGGGCTCTTCTCCCCCTCTGGGGGCTGGGGGGGCTGGTGGGCCCCGGGGGCCGGGACAGAGGTAGCAGGGTCTCTGGTTGCACTGCAGGGGGACCACGGGGTTACCGTCACAGACGCCCTCACATCCCAGGGCCCCTGGGAGCTGCCCAGCAGCTGGAGGAGCTGCAGGTCAGCGCCCAGCCCCTGCCCTCTCTTATCCGACCCAGTCCTCCCACCCCAGGGCTGAGCGGGAGCTCTGCGCTCCAGGGCCCTGTAAAAGGGGACAGCCGGGGACCAGCCCCCTGCCTCCCCAGAAGCTTGCTTTCTAGGCCCCCCCAGCAGTCAGTACCTGTCCAAGGAGCTAGGAGCGGAGCGCGTCCCTCTGAGGCCAGCCTGGAGGTCCCCGACGCTGAGCAGGGCCTGGCAGGGGGCTGTGCGGAGGAGAGCGGCCCGCACTGAGACTCACGAAGCCGAGCACAAGTGTCCTCCTCAGAATGGATGGACAGGCCGGGCAAGGGGGCTGAGGTGGGGTGGCTCACCCGCGGGCTCCACTGCTTTGCTGCCGTCTGTGGCTTCCTGAGGTGCGGAGTGGGGGGCGGGATCCTGAGACCTAGGAGGCGAGAGGAGGAGCCTGAAGGGTGACTGGGCCTGGCGCTGGCACCCCAGACCCCCGGCCCTGCTTCGGGCCTCACCTGAGCTGCAGGGTGCTGGGGGTCGCAGGGCCAGCCGGGCACGGGGCCGGGAGGTCCGGATGCTCCCCGCGGGGCTCCCTGTCCCTGCAGTCCTGGGGGCCGTCCGGGCCGTCCATAGGCACTGGGTCAAAAGCAGCTGTCCAGCTGGGGTCTGGGGGCAGTAAGCTGTGAGCGAGAGGCAGACAGCAGGGCCCCGCCCGCGCCCACGCTGCGCGCTCACGCACCCGGAGGCTGGCGGCCGGCGCTGGGGTAGCAGGGGGGCCCGGGCCTGCCGCGGGCCCGGCCGTCCTCGTCTTCGTCCTCGTCGTCGTCCTCCTCCTCGCTGTCCGTGCTGCCCCGGCTCCTGCTCCACGGAGCACCTGCCGTCACTGCCGTGCGGGCGCCCGGCCAGTCCCCAGCACCGCCCCCAGCGCTGCCCCGCGGACGCACCCAAGGGGCGGGGCGGGGGTGGGGTGGGGCACCGGGCAGTGGGAGGACGCCCAGGGAGAGTGCGCCCCCTGCGGGTTGGTGGGGGGGGCGGGCACGAGCCCCGCCCGGCCCTGGCGAACCGGCCCCTCACCACCTGCCCCCAGGGAAGGCTGACCCCACACGCTTCCTCCACCTGCACCCTCGCTGGACTTCTGTCACTGCAGCCTCCTGGGCCCCAAACCTAACGGCCGAGTGCCGACAGACATGAGACTCGACACCGTGTCCAACCAGGAACCGCAAAGGAAACCCAGAGGCTCGTAGGACGCTGCCCCACCGTCCCCACAGTGCCCATGAGGCAGATGCCCGCAGAAAGGGTGCAGGGAGCTTCCTGACCCTGGACACCTGGGATGGCGTCTCCAGAGCCCACAAGCCACACTCAACAGCGAGCCCTGAGGCCCCCGAGATCAGGGCGTGATTCGGCTCTTCCCACCTGGAGGGGAAGGAGCAGAACTCTGACTGCAGCAAGCACGGCCTGTGTGCAGGAAGCCAACGAATCCTCTCAAGCGGCCAGAACAAGCAAGTTCCGCGAGCATCAGTGTACCAGTGTACTTGTATTTTTATACACTTACAGCCACTTCAAAACAACTCTGAGGAAAACATTTCTCTCAGAATTACATCAAAAATGTTTAACAATCAATTTAAATGTATTGTTTAGGAATAAATTTAACAAAAGCACCATAAAACTGAATACTCTGAAAACTACAAAACACTGTCAGAAGTAACTAAGACCTAAACAAATGTAAAGACAGCCCAAGTTCATGGACTGAAAGACAAAATATTGTTAAAATGGCAACACTCTCCAACTGACCCATAGATTCCAAGCAATCCCTCTCAGAACCTCAGGGGGCTTTCTCTGCTGAAATTAACAATCACCCGGAATTTCAAGGAACTGAACCCAGAATGATCAACACAATTTTAAACGTAACAAACTGGATGCTCACATTTTCAATTTCAGAATTCAGTACGATGCAACAGTAATCAAGGCAGGGGCCCTGGCATAGAGATGTATAGACCAATGGGCCAGGAGAGACAGGCCAAAAATAAATGCTTGCATGAACAGCCAAAAGACTTCTGACAAAGGTGCCCAGACCAGCCAGCAGGGAGTCTCTTCAACCGGTGAGCTGGGACATGGGCATTTCCACACCTAAGAATGAAGCTGGACCCCCACCTCACACACCTAAAAAACTAGCTCACAACAGGTCAAAAACCTAAACGTTAAGAACTGATGTTACCAAGAAAACCACAGGGATGAATCAACAACCTTGGATTTGGTAATGACACGTCTAAGTGCAAAGCAACTTGACAGTCACACAGGACATACTCAGCTGATGGCAAGTGACGGACAACCACGCCAACCCGAGGGACAGGCCTCACTCACAGGATAAAGACGCAAAAACCCAAAGGGCAAGGGTCAGAAGAGTGTCAGCCTCGGAGGGCAGCGGGCGGCCAGCAGAGGGCAGGGAGGGCCGCGCTCTCCCTCTGGGTGCCACAGCGGGGGGCCCATGCGGCCAACACTCACGACCTATCTCTTGTTTCTGTGCCGGGCACACGTCACAGGGGTCAGGTCCCGAGCTGGCGTTCACGCCGGCAAGTCCATGCTGCCCAAGAGCAGCCAGTCAGTCAGTGCTCCTGCGCCAGTCACTGCTCGTATAAAGGGCTGGACATGGCTCACAGACCCACAGCCAGACTGTGAGCGAGGAAAATCGCCAAGTCCCGCTTCACTGGCGTGACGGGAGGGAGCTGACGAACACTCCACTGCCCTTTTGGCAAGAACACTGAGAGAGCTGCCATGGGCGAGAGCGGAGTCGAGGGTGGGGGCGAGCAGGCCACGGCCCCACTGGACCAAGCCGTGCCCAAAGGACCTGCGTCCTGATGGCCCTACTGGACCAAGCCATACCGGAAGGACCTGCATCCTGATGGCCCCACTGACACCTGGACCAAGCCCGAAGGACCGGCGCCTGCCTCCACACGCACATTCCTTTTCAACCTGAACTCATCTGAATTGGGTTTCTGTCGCTCAATATTGACAGTGCCCCACATCACACATGCACTGCATTCTCCTTGCTTTGCCCGCAGGTCCTGCAGCCTGACTGCACTGGGGAACCTGCAGGAGGGGAGGGGAGCGGGGGACTCACCGCACGCCCGAGGGCTGGCCCAGGCGGCCCGCCCTGGCCAGCTGGCCACCCTGCCAGGCACCGTCCTCCCCATCAGACTCCCCAGAGCCCTGGCCCTCCTCCTCGTCCTCCTCCTCGTCATCGTCGAACTGCTGGATGCGGTCCTTGTAGCAGATCTCCAGTAGGTTGGCGTTGGGCTGCAGGGCAGGCAGGAGGGTGAGGAGGGCTGCCTGCCCGCAGCGAACCCCCGCCCCCAGCAGCGGTCAGGCAGCTCACGTTGTCATCGTCTGCGCTCAGGGAGAAGGTGATGCTGGCCGTCTTGTCGAAAGGCGCGCTGCAGGGGAGGCACAGAGGCAGTGAGCGACCCCCTCTCCTGGGCCCGGTTCCAGCAGACGCGCCTCCTGCTAGGGCTGCCTGTGAACCGCAGTCGCCCCTGGCAGCACCCCTGTCAGCGGGACGTCCGCAGAGCGAGCCACCCTGCCTGTGTGTTCCCAGTCACGTGAGGCCCCACACAGAGACCTAAGACTCCTGCACCTTGTTTCCTCTTCACAATAGAAGGGACAGAGACCCTCGCTGGGCAGGCTAGGCTTTCAGGCTTTGAGATCACAGCCTGAGGGAGACACTTATTTCGAGGCGCACAGGTCCCCACGGCAGGACCAGGTGGAGGCCAGGGAGCCCAGGGATCGTGGGCAGTGCCCGTGTCCACCACCACCTCGCACCCCCAGCCTTTCTGCGTCTACACGCGCCCACACCCGTCTCTGCTTGGCTCTCTGTTCTCCAGAAAGCCACACAGAAGCACCACTCCTGGATGAAGGAACTGAATCCACACGCTTTAAGTACTGGCACACACCGTGGGAAGAGCTCTGTCCATGTACACTCCGACCCACAGTGTGCAATCTCCCAGCAGCGCCTACTTGTCCTCCTTGCCTTTCTCCCAGAGCGGAAGAGCACTGTGTGTCTGCACTGATGTCCAGGCCCTCCTGTGACGGGGCTGCTTCCAGGCTGTCAGCTGCTGTCTCCGACCGAGGAAGCACATTCACAACCCCTGTGGGCTGACTTGGCACAGGGCAGATGGGCTCACAACCTCCACCAAGGCAGGTCCCCTCAGCGCCCTCAGGGGAGGGAGCAGCCGCGGGCACGGCTGGAGGCCCAGTGAGCAGCGCCTTCAGCCCTGAGTTTGCAAGCATATTTTCTGTTCCAGGATACTTCATACTTTAGCCTTTTTCTTTTTAACAGTTAAAGCTTTTCACCTCACTGGCGTTTATCTTGATGGAAGAGGTGATAGTTTCGTCCTAAAAGTGCAGCCAGATGTGCCTGGGCCACTCACCGAGTGTGGCCGCCCCCTGGCCAGGGTTTTCTCCAGGGGCTCCCAGCACACACTAGCCGGGCAGAGTGGCAGCTAACAGGGGTTGCACTTCTGCTCCCAGGGGGTCTCTGTCCGCCTCAAGGCACAATAGACAGCAGCTGGTACCCTGTCTCCCTGGTTGCAGACGGGCTCCTGAGCCCTGAGCCGAGGGTGGTCCTGACAGGTAATTGGTCAACACTCGACAGGGGCCCAACATGCTGCCCTAGACGACACGGGTGGCGCCAGGGCCCAGCCCCCGTGCAGCCTGAAGGGGCAACGACTGGGAAACCCCGCCCTGCAGCATCCGCAGCTTTCCCTTGGGCATCCCAGGCGCATCTGCTCCTGCGCACTGGCCGCACCCGTCACTACGCACGGCCCTAAGGCCCAGCACAAGGCCATGGGCGGCTGGCCCGCTCCCCCCAGTCTCCCCTCCAGATCCCAGGTGCCTGCCCTTCCCTTCACTGTCCACCCATGACCATCACAAGGCTGCTCGTGAAACCGACAGAACACCAGAACTTTTTCTCAATTAAAACAACCAATGTCCATGGCAGAGAATTTGGACATTCAAGAAAAAGGTTCCAGGGTGATATCAGAGCAATCGATATCGACATGCAGTACAACACATATGGAGAATCAGAACTGGTCACTAAAAGCACCCTCCCCGGTTGGCCCAAGGCCTTTGAAGGGAAGGGGAGGGGAGGCAGACGAGATCTGAGTCTGCGAGGGCACGCAGCCAGCCACGTGTCCCAGGACGCCCACGCCACTCCTGCCTGCAGCGGAGGGTGAGACGACGGCAGCCCGCAGGCTGAGCCCACCTAGGCCGGGTGGGCACAGGGACGCCAGGTACGCAGCAGGCGAGCGCATGCTGTCCCGCCGCCTCGCGGCCCTCCGTGTCCCCGCCTGACCTGGCCTGGCCGGGGCACTCACTTCACACTCTCCTCCTGCTCCCCGAACTCCTCGTCGTTGAAGCCGAAGTGGTCGATGAAGGCCGAGGTCATGCGCTGCATCTGGAAGTCCATGAAGGCCTGCAGGGGGCGGCAGTCAGGGCAGGCCTGCACGTAGCCTCCCTCCCCTGCCCTCCCTGCCCGCACCTGCTGCAGCACCGCCTCCTCCGGGAAGTTGAACTCCTTGAGCCTGTCATCCTCGTCGTCGCTGGAGGAGTGCAGGTGGTGCGTGTTCACCTGGGCAGGGGTGGGCAGGGGTCAGGGCCTGCGGGGCACCCGGGGAAGCATGGGGCAGGCTGGGGCTGCGGGGCGTGGGTCGGGGCCGGGCCGGGAGGAGGAGAACCGGCGCAGGAGACTCACCAGGTCTACCGTGTTCTTTTTGTTGGTCTCCGCCAGGGGGCCCGACACGAAGGCCTCCCAGCGCTCCCGCTGCTCCTGCGGCAGCTCTGCCAGAAGGGGCGGTACAACGTGAGGACGGAGGCCCCGCCCGCCCCGCCCGCCCCCAGGCACGCCCCGTCCTCACCCTTCAGGAGCTGCTGCAGCTGCTCTGCATTGGGCCCCTTCTCCGAGTTCTGCACCAGGGCGTTGGCCACGCTTGTCAAATGGCCCATGTAGCCTTTCCGAGGGCCCCCTGCGGACCTGGAGAGAGGGAAACCAGGGCTGGACTCGGGCTGCGCTGGCCCCTGCCGCCACCCCCGCCCTGGCCCAGGACCCCCTGCTCACTGCACGCGGTCGTTCTCCTCCCAGGAGGTCAGGATGCGCTCCACCAGGCGGCAGCGCTGCAGCAGCTGTGGGGGTGGGGCGGCGTGCAGTGGGTGTGAGCACGGCACGCCTCCCCTGCTCAGCCATTGGGGCCCACTCAGCCTGCACAGCAAGCCCCAGAGACACGCCGCCTGCCTCCCGCTCCAGCTTCGCCCTGAGGCCTGGGCCACACCTAGGAAGGCGCCTCCAGGAGCGCGGGGCCCACCACCCTGGGAGGACCCTTCCTGGTCCCCCAGGACGCCCACTGCCCCTAAGGTCACCACTCCACCAGTCCCCACCCTCGCACAACACCGGCTGTTTCCCGACTCTGGACCTCGGGAAGAGCCCAAGACTCCGCCCCTAAAGGGCCTGGCTGCACATGACAGGCCGGGGGAGACCTGGAGCAGAGCCCCCCACAGACCAAAGGGGATCAGGACCCAGGAGCCCAGCTCACGTGTTTCACGACAGGGTTCTCCGAGGGCGTGTCTGAGCCGCTGTCAGCAGGGGGCCCGGAGCTCAGCATCGTGCTTACGCACACCTCCACTTGGGCGTGCAAGAAGTTGTTGAACACGTAGTGGAAGAAGAGGTCCTGGGGGTGAAGGCACACGCTGGCTCTGAGCAGCTCCCCCAGTGTTGCCCCGCCCCCGCCCCCTGCACCCCCTCCCTTTGCCCCAAGTACCAGCATGGTGTTGGGCACATCCAGCGCCAGGAGCTCCTGGGTCAGGGCAGCATCGTTGGTGCTCAGGGCACTGGCCAGCAGCTTGACCACGTGCAATCTTGTGTTGCCCAGGGGTGGGGCCAGGCTGCCCCATGTCGTGCGCAGAGGCTCCAGCTGCAGGTGGAGGGTGGGGTTTGGGTCCTGCCCCAGCTCTGCCCTGACCCCAGGACCGCCCCCCCTTCCCCCAAGCACCCTGCCCACCTCAGGCGGCTCCAACAGGAGCTGGTGGAAGCAGCTAAGACGCGGGCGCAGGGCGTGCAGGGCCCCCGCACTGGACACGGCGCCGTCCAGGGTCGCCTGGGCCAGGAGCTCCAGCTGCCCATCCACGCTGCTGAAGAAGTTGTTCACGGTCACCGACTCAGACCTGCAGCAGGCGTGGCGGAGGGCAGCGTGAACCACCAGGCGGCCCGTGCACACACGTGCACGTGCACGCACGCACACACCGGGGGCGGAGCCTGGGTGCTCACCTGGGCCTCCTGGGCTCCAGCAGCGTCAGCAGCACCTGGATCCCACTCACGAGGACGGATGGGTTGCGCTCCCCCTCCAGCATGTTGCTCAGGAGCTGCTCAATGGTCTCCTGCCTGGGGCAGGCGCGGGGGCGTCAGGGAGGAGGGCCCGGGACGGTTCCCCCCCACTGCCTGGGCAACCCCGCAACCCACTTCTCCAGGGTGGTCAGCAGCTGGTCAGGCTCTGGGCTGTCCTGCACTTGGATCATCTGCTCCCGGCTCAGGCGGATGATGTCGCACAGGGACTGGGACGCATTGGAATGTTGCTGGGGAGGGAGAGAGAGCTGAGAACCCCGGCCGGCTATGGAGTCAAGAAGCCCCAAGCGCTGGAGTGGGGGAGGCACCTGCCCTCGAGGACAGAGGGCCACACAGACCCAGGGAAACACGTGGGAGGGAAAGAACACAGACACTGGGAAGGAGAGATGGCCAAGAGAAGGAAACCAAAGAAGACTTCCTGGAAGAAGAGACCCCGACTCAAACCCCACACACACCATCACAGCTAGTGGCCAAGGGGTGCAGTGACCCAGGCATCCACCAACTTGTGACTGGAGAGGCTACTGAGGTCCGTCCATACAGCGGAACACTGCTCGGCCTTGGAAGAGGACAAAGCACTAAATACACTCCAGCTCCGATGAACACAGCAACCTGGTGCTAAGGCCAGGGGCCAGTCACAGGCAAGCACGCGTCACGCATTGCACCCACAGGAAACCACCGGGAGCGGCAAGGCAGGAGGGAAAGCAGACAGGTGTCTGCGGGGGACTGGGGGTGGCAGCTCCTGGGACAGGGTCTCCTCTGTGGAGCGATGAAGTGCGCTCTAAGAACGGCATCATGAAGGCTGCACGAGCCTGTGTGTGCACAAACGCCGCTCGGTTCTGTGTTTTCACTGGGTGAGCCTCACAGTGTGTGGTAAGTCATTCCGAGATAAACTGAGAGAAGCACGGGCAGAGCCCTGAGTCCAACCCAGCAGGCGGCTGCCAGAGCCCAGCATGCAGCCCCGCAGACCCCCCAGGCCACCACTGCACCTCAGAGCCCTGCGCTGTGCCCTGCCACCTGGCTGCCAGCAGACGCCCCTTGTCCCTCTGCCACGAAGGCAGGGTGGTCCTCACTGCCCCAGGCCTGGCCCTGGCTGAGTGCCTGGGGTGATGACCCATGTGCGTAGACCTCTGCTCTGCCAGCCAGTGGGCCAGGAGGACAGGCGTGGGGCCCCTGGCATTATCTCTGAAGGAGCAGCAGGGCTGACCCATGCACAGGAGACGGGAAGAGCCGCCAGGCCCAGAAGCGAGGAGGGGCACCCAGGGAAGGGCGGGAGTGAAGGCCGGGTCAGAGGGAGGTCTTTAGAACCCCGAGCACTCCTGGGACGAGGAGCTGGTTCCTGAGGAGCGGTCCAGGGGCATAACCCTCACCTGTTCTCACCAGGAGCCCCCCCGCCCAAGATTCGAAGGCTCCCTTCTCTCATCACTCATTTAAGGGGGCACAGGGCCTAAGCTCGCAGGCGGCAGCACTCACATTGTCGTCCTTCGACGGGTGGATCTGCTCAATGAGCCTCTGGACGATCTTCTCCTCATTGAGCCACTGCGGAGGGACGAGAGGGTGGGGCTCTGCACCCCACTGCCCCCACCCCGCTCCAGGCCCTGCCCCAGCCCCACCCCGAACGCACATTGACCACGTCCTGCCTCAGCTGCGGCCGTTCCACGCAGGTAAGGAGGCGCAGCAGCAGGTCCATGATGGCCGAGGTGCCAATGTGCTGCAGCAGCAGGTCCACGAAGTCGTCCTTCTTCCGCAGGAAGGACACGAGCTGAGGATGCGGGCCGCGGGTGAGCGCTGGACCCCCAGGCCCACCAGCCCACGCTCACCTGCCCGCCCTGCCCTCGGCCTGGGCACCTGGTCAGTCTTGCGGTTGATGAGGACGCCCATGACCTTGCTGAAGAAGCTGGCCAACAATGGGTTGAGGCTGCCGCTGCTCTGCAAGAAGCCGTAGAGGCGGTGCAGCAGGGACTCGTCCGCCCCTAGCGCATCGTTGATCTGGGGCACGTCCGACGTCAGGATCTCGCAGGCCACACTGGGGTACCTGTCAACCCAGCAGGGTTGTGGAAGGGGCGGCGGGGACCCGGCTGCCCCGACCCCCAATCCCGGTCCAGAGAAGCTCCCCTCCCCCCAAGCCGGCATCAGGCCCCCTAAGCCTGGACCCAACCCCTACTAACACTGTCCGCGACCCCAACCCTGCAGGCTGACCCCCACCCCCGGGCCCAAGGACCTTTCACCAGAAGGGAGGGCTGCCTGCCTAGAGCGCCACCCAGGCCCCGGGGACCCCAGCCTGCTCAGCTCCGCCTCGCGAGCTGTCAGGCCCTGGCAAGTGAGTTCCTCGGGGCGGCGCGAGGAGCCCAGGGCCAGGCGGGCACAGGAGTCAGAACTGAGGCATGGGACATGCTCAAGCTGGTAGACAGGGGACAGAGCCAGGTGAGCAAAGCCGAAGAAGGAGAAAACACGAGGGAGCAGTGATGGACAGGTGGATACTGGGGGGCCCCCCCCGAGGCTGACAACACCGCACTGAGCCCCCACTTCATACAGAGAAAACTGAGGAGTCAACCACTGCCCATCTGGCTGGAGGCCTCCGGGGACAGAGGCAGGACCTGTGAGGCCCGGTGCGTATGTCAGTGTGAGGGGCCGGGCAGAGGGCGACCTGGGGAACCAGGAGGCCTGTCTGGGACGGGCGGGGCAGGGCTGGAGAGGGGCAGCAGAGACCAGGACAGACAGGTGCGCTTGACAGCGCCTGCCCGCCTCTCCCTCCCTCCCCGGCGCCCCCTCTGGTGGGAGGGGCACAGCCACACGCTCAGGGCAGTCCTCACATTCCCGCTCCTGAGTTCTAAGACAGGAACAGAAATCCAAGTAAAGAACCACCAGGAGATAAAGTGGGGGCGGGGCGGGGCGACGAGACACACGGCCCGCCCCCTCACTGCTGGGGGAGGGTCCTCGGGGGCTCCTCCCACCCGCCCGGAGGCGGGGGAGGTCTGGCAAGTCCCACAGAAACGGGGCCAACAAGGCCCACGGCAAGTCGGGGGCTCACTTGTAGCGCAGCCGCTCCTCGCCGCTGGCCGGCGGCTCCTGGGTGACCCAGGCCACCATGGCCTGCAGGTGCAGCGGCCGCAGCAGGAAGTCCAGCAGCTTGCGGTTGACGACCTTGCACTCCTGCAGCACGTCCTCCTCGTCCAGCAGCTCGGGCAGGCTGAGGTCCTCCCGCTCCAGCAGTGCGTCGAGGTGCGAGCTCGTGTGCAGGTCAAACTTCCAAAACATGGCGCCCTGTAGGCAGCGCGGTCACATGAGGGCCCGCTGGCCCACCCCCCTCCACCTCCCAGCCTGCCAGGCCACTCCACGGGCGACTTCCTACCCACTGCCCAGCACCGGGGAAGACCGCTTGCTTCAGCCTGTATCTGCTCAACAAACTAAGTGTCCCATGATGCCCGTGGGGGAGAGGGAGGTATGCAGTGTCTCCAGGCTGCGTGCGTGCACACACACAATCTCCAGGCTGTACACACACACACCTGACAATCTCTAGGCTGTACACAAACACACACACACCCCAACCCCTGTACCCGGTGCCAGGACAGGACAAGGAAAAGTTGGAGGGGAGAGCACGCTGGCCCCCAGAATAGCCACTGACGGGGCCCACTGGCATCAGACAGGGAAGCACCTCCAAGGGACAATGACAGCTGTGGCCTGCCCACCCAGCAATGGCCTCAGGAGCATTTCGGGTGGAGCATGTGATAGGTGCCTGGAGGGTCCAAGCCCTGATGAGCAGACCTGGCTGCCCCTCTGGGGATTCCCGCGGCCCCCAGCCTCGACCCCAGGGTGCACAGCTGCCCTGAGCTGGCCGCCAGCTCCCAGGCCACTCTGTCCAGCCATTCCCCCAGACACCGGGGCTGTGCCTATGGCCCTGTTGAGGGCTCTGGTCACCCCACGGAACGGCAGACAACCATACCCAGGTCAGCTAGGCCCCCGAGCACCATGCTGGCACTGCCCAGCGCTCATGTGTCACCTGCCTCCTGAAGACCACCCGAGGCCAAGGCTGCTCCAGCCAGACCCGGAGGCCAGGATGGCCCTGCTGGCACCATCCCAGCTGTGGAGAGGTCGCCCACCGGACGGGCAGCAGCCCGGGGCAGGGCTGAGGGCAGGCGCCTGCCTTCCGACCCTCAGCTCCCCCAGGAGGCTGCCAGCAGCCGGCTCTCCCATCCAGCCTCCTCAGGAGCCTCTCGTGTCTCCTCCCAGCCCCCAGGATGACCTCTCAGCGACAGGGAAAAAGTGGCCCCCGAGGTGCAACGATCCTGCGGGACTCGCCTGGTTCCTAAGCCCTGGCCGCCTGCAGGTGGAGCGGAGGGGCTATGACCTCATGAGACAGCAGCAGACACGGGCCCCAGAGAGGAGTAGGACGTGGGGGCACCTGAGAGCTCCCAGGGATGCGGCCTGGCCACCCACACTCCGGTACTCGCTCCCAGGCCTGCACCCCACCCCCTCAGGATGCTTTTCTGAAACAGACTTGCACACCTAGCACATGGTACCCCGAAAGGCCCCAAGGTGGCCCCCCAGGAGCCCCCTACTCAGTCCTGCCAGAGTCTGCACCCCAGGCCCTCACACCTGCCTCCCTTTGACCAACAACTTGTGCGGGCCGAGCCCAGGCCACGACCCTGGCCTGGCTCCGCACACATCACCCCAAGACTGCCACGTAGGGGTGTGTCTCCGTCCCAGCCAGAGGCCCCCGAGCAGTGCCCCCTATGCCATCGCTAACCCAGCCCCAGGCCTCGGGGCGAGAACGGCGGCGCCACGCGGACAACATGCAGACACACGAGGCCGGCAAACCACGTGAGCTGCTCAGCCGTCACCTCAGCTGATTCCCACAGTGTGCCCCACTGCACAGGGAGGCACCCGAGGTGCAGCAGGGTCTGAGCTGCTGGACTGCGGGGCAGTGCGCGAGCCCCACGAGGCCCCTTCTCAGAGCGCAGGCGCCTCGTCCGAGCAGGGGGGCCCAGCCGACAGAGCCAGCGAGTGCGCTCCGGCCCAGCTGGTGCCCGCCCCCCGGCCCACGGGGCTCAGGCACCCATTCAGCGACCATCTCTGAGGCCAGGGAGGGGCTGGGTGCAGACCCACAGCCTTGGAGACCTGTAGAGCAGGCACCCCGCACGTCCCCCACGGGCTGTGGACAAAGCACAGAACCTTCCTGCCTGGCGGCCATGACCACCCTGGAGAGCACCACGTGGGGAACGAGCTTGGAAGCCGGGACTGAAGGGTGGGCCCTGCTCTGGAGGCGGGAGGCTGAAGGATCTGTCAGGGCATCAGTAGGGGGACTGCTCCCGCCCCACAGCCTCAGCCACACCCAAGGGCTCCCATAAACCAGCCCAGGTGGGGTGGAGGACCGCCAGGGCTGGCAGGCTGGGGAGGGGAGGAGAGTGGGCTGCTCCGTGTGCTGAATGCGGGGCCCTGTCTCGGAGTGGGAACACTGCTCCCGAAAGCAGGCGGGCAGCGCCCCAAACCCACAAGTGCACGAGGGCCATCCCCACTTCTGTCTGGGCCCCAGGCCCACCCTCCTCACTTGGAGAGACAGCGGGCCTAGACAGTTTCCTGAGCTGGGTGCTCGTGGGGCCAGAACCATTGCATGGGGCAGCCGCTGACCTGGCCCAAGGGACGAGGCACAACCCCCACCCCGCCCCCACCTTGAGAACACCACCTCTTTCTAATCGCAGATTTTTGTAAGGACAAAAAGACCAGAGAGGTCAAAAGGTCATCCCGGGGGGCATGAACAAAGCCAGCCACCAAAGACCACATGTCATATGTGTGTGCGTGCACGCTCTCAGTCGCTCAGTCGTGTCTGACTCTACTGTGACCCTGTGGACTCTAGCCCGCAAGGCTCCTCTGCCCATGGGATTTTTCAGGCAAGAAGACTGGAGTCGGTTGCCATTCCCTTCTCCAGGGGATCTTCCCCACCCAGGGACTGAACTCGTGTCTCCTGCACTGGCAGGCAGATTCTTCACTGTCTGAGCCACCAAGGAAGAGCCCACATATCGCATACTTCCATTTAAATGAAACATCCAGAAAAGACAAATCTGTAGACACAGAATTGGGATTAGTGTTTTTCAGGAGCTGGGGGACAAGACAAGGACGGAGGGAGACAACTGCAAGGAAGTATGGGGTTTCCTTTTAGGAAAGAGGTGTTCTTTTCAAAAAAAAAAGCTCTAAAATCAATTGTACACAATTTTATTTGATACTATAACTCGCTTTAAAAACTCTATGGTGGTGACTGTTGGTTGCACAACTCTGAATAGACTAGATATTGAATTGTGTAGTTTAAATGGATGTCATATATTACATTACATAAATTACATCTCCCCCAACAACACACACACACACACACACACACACACACACACACACAAAAATCTATCGTCAAAAACAAAACCAGGACTTCCCTGGTGGTACAGTGGATAGGAATCTACCTGCCAATGCAGGGGGAACGGGTTCGATCCTCAGTCAGGGAACTAGATCCCACATACAGCAGAGCCACTGCGCCTGCCCTCCGGAGCCATGAGCCCCAAACTACTGACGCCTGCTCACCTGGAGCCTGTGCTCCTCAATGACGGGCCGCGGCCAGTAGCCCGTACACCTCTACAAGAGGACCCCGGCTTGCTGCAGCTGGAGAAGGCCCGCGCAGCAACAAAGACCCAGCACAACCAATAAATACACAACTTGTTACAAAACAAACAGAACCGAAGCTGCCTGAGGCTGCCGTGAGAGGGCCAGGCCTTGGCCTGCTCTGCGCCCAAGAAGCCTGGAGCTGACACGCCACCAGGGCCAGGCCGGGCTGGGCCGGGATAAGAAGGCGCAGCTGCAGGCACACGCCCAGGCTCCCCCACCCTCACTACCCGCCGGGTCCCCGAGCTAAGCAGGCCCCCTCAGCTGGGGGATGAGCCTTCAGAGACCTGTGCACCCCGCACAGCACCGTGTCCCTCGTCAAGACGGCCAGGGACAGCACTGCTCTTGTTTCTGTCTGACAGCCAAGGCGCAGAGGGCCCCCAGGCGTCAGCCACAGCAGAAGCAGGCCTCGGTACACTCTCCAGGCTGCAGGAGGACAGCCTTGGGGCTGAGGCCCACTGACCGTGTCCAAAGCACCTGCACGATGCCACAGGCTACATCCTCCCCCACAACCCTGCCACCCGCCCTGGACCACAGGCAGGACTTCCCTCCCAAAACTGGCTTGGGCTGGGGGTTGAGTGGGGTGTGGACTCCAGGGACTTCAGAAACCAGGCGGTCACTTAAACTCTCAGAACCTCAGGTCCTTCTCCGAAAGTCAGAGGAGGCTGCAAGGATCAGATGTAGCTGAGGGATGGTCAGTACCCTTCCCTCCCAAAGTCACTTCCCAAGCTCTACACGGGACAAGATGCAGATGCAGGAGGCACGGAGTAAAGAAAACATCCCACAGAAAACACTCTCCCCCACCACACACTCCAGCGCACGTAGCCTCAGGTCCCAATGGTCAACTTCCCGGAAGCCCTGGACATGGACAGCAGAGGAGCTTCCTCCTCACTCTCTAACAGTGACATGCATACCGCGCCTTGTCTCCTTGTCCATGAAACAGGCCCAGCCGCCAGGAAGGGGCACGTTCTGAGAACAGCAGGGTCAGGCCTGTGGTCCTGACAGGGCAGGTCTCCTTCAGCAGGCGTCCCCGGGACCAGGCTGAAGGCTGGACACTTCTGAGCAGGAGGGAAGGTGCAGCCACTACCCAGGGAGACAGCGCTAAAAACAGGAGCCCTGAGGAAGATGGCCCATTCGCCTGGGTGGCTGAGCTCACTCAAATACTCTGGTGGGTGCCCCACACCCCGCCACCCCCGTGCTTTGCAACTTTTAGCAAACTTCAAGAAAACGGAAGTGAATAGCACTGGCTTTTAGCGACCGTTTGAAAACCATGACTCTAGCTGCAAACGGAAGAAGGGGAAACTGTAAATGAGAAAGGAAGCCATTAAGAACGAAAACTACCTCTCTCTGCGCCAGCTCCGCACCATCGCCCCGGGTTTCCGGCTTCACTGCGTGGTTCTCAGGCCTCGGATACCAGTGGCCCTTCTCGGGAGCCAGCAGCCCCCGCCCAGTGCGGACTCAGTGAGGGCCCAGATGCAGCCCCCACCGAGTGCCCCCATAGCCACAGCAGCGGTCTATCCACACACGGCCCTGCCTGCCTGGGAGCCCGGAGCGGGTCCTTTACCTGCCGCCCCTTTCTCGCCCGCCCTGGCCCCACACACCCGGAAGTGGAGATCAAG